TCGATTACTAATTGACCTTCCATATATAAATCATGAAATTTGAATTTGGTAATGACCCTTGAATCTATTTGTCACCCCTGTATTCGTGTTGTATAATTAATTATCAATATACCGAATTTGAATACGATATTCGGTATTGCAATATAATGAATCATCACTTAAAATTCGATAAGCTATTTATCTGAATTTTTCACTATAACGAATCGTAACCTCTGGAAATCAAGATTCGTTATAGAGAACTTTGACTGTATACTAATTTTTTATCATTTTTTATTGATTTTTTCAAGAAGGGATTAACAAATGATAAAATATGATATATAATTATTATAGAAGATCTAGAATGATTATTCTACTTATTTTATGCATTATAAAAATTCCTTCAATAGGAATATAGTCTGTCTTACTTTTCATATATTTTTTATATCAGATCATAACTTTAACCAATCTTAAGAATCTTACTTACAACATTCTAAAAGTTTCAAAAAATATATTTATTAGAAATATAAAAGTTTTAGATTTAAATCCATGTTTAAAGTGTAATAATTGGATCTTAAAACTTCTTTCAAGAAATTCATACTACTTAGCTATAAATATATATTCCATAAACTTTACATTGAGAAAAAACTTTTATTATTTTAATAGATTTATATTCATTTCTTAATTATGAGTAAAATATTAAGAAAATTGATAATGCTTTTTCTGAGTTGCTAGTAGGAAAGATGGGAGGATTTCTAGGAAAATCAGGTTCTAAGAAATTTTTGACTTAAATTAAGAGCTTAATACATTTTAATCTAATAATATCAAAAAACTAAAATGCAATAAAAATCTCAATTTTGTTAAAAAATTCCCAGAACCTGATTTTCCTAGCAATCAACCCAAATAATATATTTTGACAATTTTTTGTAAATGTCATTATATATTTATACACATCAAAGCAATTAAATATGCTTTCTTAGAAGTATGCAATATAGCTTTTAAACATATTTATAAAACTATACCAAGTACATTATATGTATTCTTCAATTGTTAAATCTTCATTTGATAGTATTCACATACAAATTGTTTTCTTTAAGTTATAAAATAACTGATTGTCAACTTTTACAGGGTTTTATTTTTCTAGAAAATCTGACACCACCATTCTTTATGATTATTTATATTATGAATATACTAACTATTTGATTAATGGCATTATTCTCATATATAAATATGGTTACCATAATCCTTACCTATAAAGATATCAATTTAAATATTTAATATGTTTAGAGTATCTTCAAAATGGGATTAAGAAAAACATCAATGTTCTTATGATAAGTTTAATGAAAATATCAGGTGAATAAGAACTCATTGAAGAAGATAATAAAAATGCAGCCAAAGATGATATAAATGATGAGGTTGAGAAGATAGATGATATTATAATAGCAGATAATTTATTAGAACATGCAAAAGAATTATTTTTGAATTTGTAAAACTTTATTCAATTTTTTTATTAAACATAATATTTCATTTAATATTTTACTTTTTTTTGCCTTTTAACTATTTAGTTATTTTAATAAATACATTCTTATGACCACATTTCTTAATTAACTCGCGATTTTTTAGCGTTAAATCACATGATTTCGTTATTAAAATCTATGATTTTGATTGGTAATCGGGGACGGAAAACTAAAGTTTAACACTTTTTTATATAAAATATTGTAAGTGATTTTTGTTACGTTTTTCATACAAAACTTTTGTAAGTATTGTAATTTAAGAGTTTTTGCTAAATCTAAAAATAAAATCTAATTAATATATAATAAAAATAATTATAAATCATGTAATATATATAAAACTTACATTAACTATATTTTTGCCTATGATCAGGCTTAACAATACTCATATAATGAGTATGATAGTTGTTGCCCAACTTCCAAGTAACTAAAGTAAGCATAAGTTCCTTTTGCTTGTGCTTTTTGATAGGCTAGCAAAATCAATTTACGAAATCGAACATTTTCTTTATTACAATTTTGTATAACACATGGTCCTTCATTTTTTCGAACAAAAATGTAAATGAGAAAACGTGTGATTTTCATGTGATAGATCTGAAATTGCTAGCCAATTATATTTTGATGATCATCATAATTATTAACCAATGAAATTTTCATTTCGTACTAACTTTCATTACTTTTTTAATCGTAAAAGCAAGTTCTTCAACCAGTTCCATATCTAATCTTCTGAAAGTTGAGCAAGTGAAGTCATGAAGTCGAGAGAATTTTAAAAAGTTTTTGCAAGAGAACAGAGCTAGTTTAGATCTTGAAGACAGAAATATTGATAACATATATAATCAGAGGATTGTTGGTGCGACTTTTCTTGAGTTAACTCAAGAAGATCTTACAGGGATGAGAATTCTTCTTGGACCAGCAAAAAAAATCGTTAAATTGATCAAAGAAATTCAAGGAGGTAAGTGAACTTCATTCTTGCCCACACCGCGTCATATTCGCCAATAATACCGAATACTTACTTAATCTTGTGCTTTTCTTTCCTGCTTCTTATCGTCAAACCCGTCCAAAAAACACGTTCGCATTATCGTAAAAGGTAAGTACCACAACTGCATTCGAATATACTAAACCTATACTGCTTTTTTCGCTGTGGAGTCAGATCTGTCTTCAATATAGCTTATACCAAAAGTTTTCCTTGTAGCAGGCACTTTAAAATCACCCACCAGTATTGTGTCCATTTTTGTGGACAACTCAAACTTATTTATCAAAGAAAAGTTTACTGTAGGTCGATTAGAATCCGCAGGCACCTTTGATCAAAAAAGAAATTCCCACTACCTCAACCAGCTCCATATTGACCATGGTCGTCTTCTATCAGCGGTACTGAACGGACGACAAATGGGTAGCAATCTGATTATTGTCGGCTCTCGTCCACCACCGAACGATTCGCTATGGGATCAGATTGTAAGTCAAGGTTATGATGTAGTCGTGTTTGATCGAAATATAGAAAATAAAGAAAAGAAAGTTGATATGGAACTAGGTGCTTCTGCAATGGATGTTATCTGGACTAGGGATCCTGGTATATTTGTTTTAGTTTTTGGAGATGGTGATTATTTTCCTGTAGTAAAACGGACTCTGAATCATAATTGGAAGGTCGAAACTCGGTTTTGGCGATCAGATATGAAACACTGCTTTGTTTGTGTTTGTAGTCAAATAAGTTATCTAAGTGAACTCCCACTAATATAGGAGTATCCGGTGATCTCACGGAATGTTCCTCCTCATTCTATCCTTTGGATAATTACTATAAATACTTTACATATGCATAAGAACAAGACCCCGTTGGGAAAAATCATATCCTTGAAATAACCGATGGTGAAACGGTTGGAAATTGGAAGGGTAAAGAAGTAATGGATTGTTTTTTTTCATTACAATTGTTTGGGTGGTGGTACTGAAAAGAAAGGCAGATTATATACTTGTATTTTGATAACAAATCGAATTTGAAAAAGGTAAAAAATTGGATGGAGTCTAAACATTCTGATATAAAGGTTTGGGAAATGTCAGAAATAAAAGAAGCACAATCACCTCACTTCATTCAATAATTTTATTGCAATAAAAATATCATTTAATTTTCTGAGGAAAATATGACGATCAGTTTACAAAATTCAAAAAAAGCAAATCAAATTCTAATTCTTTCAATTAATTATGACTGTAGTCTAGATCAAATACTTATTATTGAAAGGAAGGAAATGGCATAGGTCTAAAATATCAGAAATGTGAGATCTACCATTGAAGTATAGCAGTAAAAGTTGGGTAGTTGGGTAGATTTATGATCTTTACATTCACCAGTGTAATACACAATACTAAAAAAATCTGGAATTTTACTTATTCTATATAAATTTTTTATAAATCAAAATTTTACAACTATATTTTTTACGAGACAAGATCTTGATGTAAATAAAGACCCTTGAGTCTATTTTTACTTAATTGGCATTGATGTTATTTTTTATTTCACATGTATTGGGATCAGTGCTGAGCCTTTCGGCCGAAATATTCAGGGCTCAATTTATTCAATACTAATTGTTGTAGGTTTAATTAAGTATGAGTATAAGGGAATAAATTTCCTGATTTTTATTGTTACCATTTTACAATTAAGTAATGATTGTTTTTCTTTACAGAGCCTATAATTCGAACAATTATGAAATCACCTTATATGATCGCTAAAATTCTGAATTTGATTATTGGACTGTAGGCTTGATTAACGACCGGTAATAAAATCAAATTAGATTAAAGATAATATAAATAATTTGAAAGAAAGCTTAGTAAAGATACTATATCTCTCTATCAAAAATTACATTCTAAAGTAAATGCTATATCTATTCAGAACTTAACTTGATAAGATCCTTTGGCCAGTCAAATTATTAGTGATCAATCAGAAGTTGTCAAACAATTGCCATCAAACTTAAGAAAGACATTTAAGGTAGATAGTCATACATCTGTTAGAGGTTCTTTAAGAATAAATATAACTTTTATTTTATATTAAAAACTTGCTTGACAGATGACATCCACTCTTATGTTATTAGTTAAAAAAATATATAAAGAATTTGTAACAAGTTTTGTCAATTATAATATTCAGAATACGATACCAGATAAACTAATTCATGATGATTTCTAGAAAGAATTAGAAGAAAAAATTGCAAATGTTATAAAGAAGTTTTAATTCTTCTGGAAGATATTTAGACAGCTTTTAATTTCAAACTTGCAAAATTACTAAATAAAGGAACTTATTAATTAACAGTTATTTTATTATTGATTCAAATAATATTAAAAAATCTCCTTTTAGATTATTCTTATTTATCAGTATTTCAGAATGGTAGAGCATTGCTAGTATAGATAGAAAAAACGAAAGGCAAATAAAAAGATGGTCAGATATTATGTATATGATAAAATATTTAAATATTTTCTTTGAACTTATATGTATTAAATATTTACAAAAAATTAATTATTTACATGATCTCTTTTACTCTCTATATTATCAATATATTCATGCATGATTTTTCTAAGCCTTTTATTTTAGATATTTTTAATTTGATATATATATCTTTTATTAATCAGAGTTTGATTTAGAATTCTTTTTATACTGTGATTGTATTCTTAGTTCTTATAAATATTGCTTAAGCATTTTAATTATACAAATATATATTTTATCTATCATAGTTAATTTTACTATTACCATTAAATTAAATTTGTATGTATAATAATATTAACTATTTCTCTACTAATTTTATTAAATTGTTCTCTTATATCATTAGAAAGATTAAAATCTAAAATCCTATTCAAATAAAAATGAATTCTTACTAAGTAAGCTATAATCTTAAACTTTCTATCTAAAATATCTTGAATTGTATTATTTATATTTAATTTATTATTATTTGAAATTTTTTTTATAATTTTGATCATTTATTTCAAAAATACGGAACTTAAGTTGAGTTACCTTTTTTTCTAACTTATTAACTTGATGCTTTTAAGATAATATATGATTCTCTTTTTAATTCACATTTTATAATACTTTTTGAAGATATTGTTTAAGAATTATAATTTCAGATTTAAGAAATGCTATCTCATTTTCATAAACTAATATTGCTAAAATATTATCTTATAATATGCATCTAACTTTTTGATATAAGCTTTAAGCCTTTTATTAGAAATATTATTTTAGACATTAATTCTTTTTATAACTCTTTATAAGTATCAAAGATTTTTATATAAGCTGGATCTATAATTCCTATAAATTTGAGTGAAACTAGAATATTAAATGTTTCTATTGCATTACAAAAGATTTATTATCAATCTTTAGATTATAAGAGAATTGTAAAAAAAATTACATAAGTTTCTTAAAAGGCTAGATATAAACTTAATCTAGATAAAGTGAAAGATTTACCTAAGAAATAAACTATACATTAGATTTATGCTTTAACCTAAATATATTCTATATAATAGTTTTAGCTTTATTATTATTCTTAATAAAATTTACCAAGTAAATATACTTTATATACCTAATGATAAGATTGATTAAGTTACTTATTTTTTATCTTAATATTGTAAATGTGATTTTAAGATATAAAGTTTCTATTCTTATAGGCACAACTGTATTAAGAATAAGTAGGATATCTTAACTTTAAAAACTATTGCTTAAGCATTTGAGAAAACTTATCCCTTAAATTGTAGAAATTTACAGGAAAATTTGCTTATTTATTTATTATAAATTTCCTTTTAATTTACTTTTATAAAAAATTAAAATTTTAAAAAATTTTTTTTTTAAATTAATTTTATAAATATGTATTATATTATAATAATTTTTATTTATTAATTATAAAATAATAAAATAAATAATTTACAATTATTTTTTTTTGCTAAAAATTTGTAATTTTTTAAAAAATTATAAATTAAAAAATTTTATCATTGATCTTTGACAATCTTATTAACATTTATTTTTAGTAATATTAATTATAATAAAATATTATAAAATTTATCATAAAGAATAACTTTAATTATTATACTTTTTATAATTTATTAAGAAATTTTATAACTTTTATTAGTAATAAAATGACTTAATTAGTTCGTAAATATATAAATTTTAAAAAAATTTTATAATAAATTTTTAAAACTTAAATTTAAAAATTAAAATTATTTAAAAAATATCTTATAAACTTAAAATTTTTTTAACAAAATTAATAAAATATAATTTTTCATATAATTATTATATTGCTAAAATTAATATTTAATATTTTATTAAATAATTAATACATTTTTTAAGTTTGCAAGCAAATTTGTTTACTAGATAATCTAAAGGATAATAATCCTAAATGTTCTTATTTGGCTAAAATTATTAATTACTGATAAGGAATTTAAATTTAAAAATAAATATAAAAGATTATTAAGAGATTATAATATAAAGTTTCAAAAGACTAAATCTAAAAATACTATAGATATTGTTAAAAGATATAATAGAATCTTAACTAAAAGATTATTTTTAGTTTTAAGATATTTCTAACTTATTAAATTTATATCAGAAATCTATAATTGTCAAGAATATTAATAATTTTATTATATGTCAACTTGATATTTTTCCTGCTAAAGCAATAAAAAAAGAAAGATTATTGCTAAGCTTTCTAATTCTCAAAATCTATAAATTTTAATAAAATAAAGCTTACTAATGATATACTTATAAGATATTTGCTATATCCTTATGATTTAAAAGATAAGAAACAATATGTTGAAGATTTATATTATCTATCAATCTATAATATAAAAAATTTAGCTAGTTTTATTAGCTAGAAGAGGTTCCTTTTGAATTAAATGATGATATAATAAAATATTCTAAAAATTTTTTGTAAAAGAAAATTAATGGTTATTTTATTAGATACTAAGTTATCATCTTAGTGGGTTCTTATAAATTAAATTAATATTAGGAAATCTTCTACTTTTTTATCAACTTATTCTTCTATAATAAAATATTTCTTAGCTAATTTATAATATAACTTATATTTTCTATTATAGTATTAAGTATTTTTGGATCTTTACTATAATAAGATTTTAATTATTTATAATTTAATAATACTTATTCTTAGTTAAGAATATTCTTTTTGCATTTTCTAGAATATATTTATCTGAATCTTTTGATTGATATAATTTTTTATCCTTTCTTTATAATTCTACATGAATTATCTATCCTTTAATTTTTTATAATTTTAACTATATTAACTAGAACTTTTTTGACTTATTGTATTGTGAGTTTAATTTCATTAATTAAATTTGTGTATTTATTGTAATATAATTATATTATTTTTATATTACATAAAGATTTATTTAATTAAAATTATTTATATGTCTAAAAACTAAATCAGTCTTTATTTGTGATTACCTTTATAATTTTGGTAAAATTTGTAATAAGCTTATACTCATCTTGAAGGTTGCTAATTGCATTTAAAGCTAAAAAGTATTAACCTTATAATCTAAGATGAATAAGTTTACCAGTACCTCTTATGATTAATATAAATCACATATTAAAAGTTATTATATGATTTAATATATAAATAAGCTTCAAAATAAAATTTAGATGTTTAATCATTATAATAAAGGATTAGTTTTCAAGGTAAGACTTAATATATATATACTTTGAGGTAAAACTTAAAGGTGAAATTTAACATTTTAGTATCTAGAGATTATACTTTATAATTCTTTATTTATATTAATAAATTATGTTAGAATTAATTCTAGAATATCACAAAATAAAGGTATACATTTTAGAATTGCAAGAGTTGTAGTCTCATTAGAGCAAGCAGTATAGCATACATTTTTGATATATTATTTAAGGGTTAAAATCGAATTAGAAATACTAAAAAAGACAGTATATTTCTTGTATCTAGCAAATTAATTCTAAGCTAAAAAGATACTAAAATATTAGATAGTGAGAAAGAAATCTAGATTAATTTAGAATCTAGAATTAATACTTATACTTTATAGTAGAAATTAAGTTAGGAGAAAATTAGAACCTTTTTTGAATATTATTTCAATTTTGATCTAGAATTCCTATTGTATCTATATCTATTATAATAATTATTAATTATAAATTTTATTCAATAAAATAATTGCAAAAACACAAAAAATATATTATTATTGATTTGAAAATTATTAAATCATTTCTTTATTAAGTAAATATAATTAATTTTTTTTTCAATTTTTTTTTTTCATAATCTTTAAAAAAATTGTTAAAATTAACTTTTGATAATCAAATATCTATTTATATTTTAATATAATTTTACTAAATTCTATAATATTTCCTTAATAGTATACAGTTGTCTCTCTCTATAGTCACCTCCTGTATAATTACATCATATAAATTTCTCATTATAAGACATATTCTGTAAGAACTAATATCTATTAATGCTATATAAAAAAATCCTTTATAATCACAGTGATTTTATAGTCACACCCTTTCAGAACTAACACTTAGTAACAATATATAAAAATCCCCTGTATAGTAACTTTTTATTATAATCACACTAATTATTTTTAGTCCTGAAGGGTGTAACTATAAAGGGAATGACAGTAATCATTTATTTAATATCATATAACTAATTATCTATAATAAGTTTTATTATACAGTTTTTTGTAATTTTATATAATTGAATAAAATCATCATTTTTATTTAATTTCTTTTTTATTAACTATTATTTATATAAAAAAAAATTGTTATAAATTGTATTTTAAAATTTTTGTTTTAATCAAAAACTAAAAAATTTAAAAAGTTTTAGAATCTGGTTTTAAGCAATCTTCTTATACATAAACTAGGAAACGGAAATCCAGAGAGATCTTTGACACTTTCAAAAATCGGAGATTTTATTGGTTGATGTGCACGTGGGCGGACAGAGAAACGGACTACGACAACAGAAATTCTTCGATCACGTGATTATTTGGCCCGCATTAATGGTTATTGTGTGACAAATATGATTTTCACTATGGTAAAAATTCAGTTCCCAGAATACTTAATTAGAGAAACGCAATAATCACGTGACCGAAAAATTTTTCATAGCGCATAGACATATATTGTCCGGAGACAATATAAAATATCAATATATATATGAAAATATTTAGCTTAATGATATTATAATATGATTTTATAATTAATATATTTTTTGTTTTTTGATTTATTATAAAAATTTTCTATTTCAATAATTATTATAATAATGATAATTAAAATCGAAATTTTTTTTTTTTGAAAAAATTTCATAAAGTTGATTTTTTACATTTTGCAATTATTGATTACTTTTTTTCCTCTACTGTATTTACGGTTCCAAATATGTACAAGCAAGAGGTATTAAATAAAACATATAAAATCAAATACCAAAGAGAAAATTATAAGTAATGGATAAATAAAATTCGTTTCTCATCCAATCAGATAATAAAACAAAAATCCGACCTTCAGTAATGCACCTTTTTAAAAAAAAAACCCGATAATTCAAAAAACAACTATAATGTGTTGCGGTATTATCAAGTGTTAGAATGTGATTTTCCTGCCGAGTCTAAGCTTTTTCGTCATTGTAGGTCATTTTTGGAAAAATTAATGTTTTTAAAAAAAAGTATTTGGGGTTAGATACTGATGACTAAATAAAATTATTATATATCTCCAGTAAGAAACTATTTTGGTTGAAAGAGAATCCAATTTTATATTTTTCTTTCGAATTCCAATGTTTTTGTTTTTTTTTTCTATGAAAAAGTTCTTCATTTGGATCGTCAGGGGCTTATTATGAAAGTAATGTAGTTCTTTTTTATTTTATTTTATTTTTTTTTTATGGAGATCAAAAATCATTAGGTTTCAGGATCATTTGTCGGAAGATTAATTATTCTATTTAGAGTTTTCATTAGAATGAAAAGATAGAAAAACTGTACGTAAAATATGCAATTTAATGCTTCTATTTATAAATATTTAGGAAAATATACATAATTAGAAATAAATCTTTTTATAAATATTCTAGATAATGTACATAATTAGAAATAACTCCTTTTATTAAATATTCTAGATAATGTACATAATTAGAAATAAGATTTCTTTTTTAAAACGGATTTTACAAAATTTATTTTTTTCCAATAATATCGAAATTCATGCCGCAGAAATTTCGAATTCCTTTTTTGTTAATATAATAATTCACTTTTGTGGTCCTGCCCATGACAACTTAGGGTTAGGGAAGCATTTGAAAATTTTCAGTTATCTAAATCCGTCATTTATTATAATAATAACGGCCGAATAATATAGCGCAGCTATCCTTTCAAAGAAAAAAATTACTTATTTAGTGAAAAAATAAAAAAGTCGGATTGAAACTGATATCCAAAAAAGTAAATAAATTCATTATTATCATGTTGGAGGTTTTCAAATTTTCCAAACGAAGCCGCATGGTTTGATCAACATTCCTTTACATGGATGCCGGAAGCCATATGGTTTCCATTTATACAAAGTATTCAAACAAAAAAGGAAAGTGAAAAAAAAAAGTGGTTCAAAAAATATGACTTATTAGCCGAAAGAAATTCGAATTAATCAATAATTTTCCAAAATAGTTTTCCAGCAGTTTTCTAGCGATTCCATGGAGAATTCCAAAAAAATATTTGTTAAATGGTGTTACATTTTTACTTTAAAACAATGGTTGATGTGTTCTTTATTTCCTTTTTTGATTTTTTGCTTTGTTAACCCGTAGTTCAGGATTCCGAAAGTCATATCATTGGTTTGTCAATCCGTGACTTTGTAATACTGTGGCGAGTGTCCTTCTTTTCAGTACAATTCTTTGTGCGTGGCTTGTTTCAAATGGTTTATCATTGGTTTGTTTTTGAATCGAAGGTTTCCAAGGAATGAAACATTTCCTAATTTATTCGTCGCCACAGTGGCTTGTAAACTTTCAAAAATCAAATAAAAATGGGTACCAACAGTGCATCATCAAATTTCAAAAAAGTGAAAAAGAAAAAGAAAAAAAAAAAGATAAAGCAATACGCAGCAAACTGTGCCTCAAAAAATAGTAGAAAAAAAACTATAAAATCTAGCCAAAATCTTCCAACTTTTTCTTCCCTCGCCAAAATATCTTTTGGTTCATTGCTTTCTTGACTCATATAGAACAATTTAGTTAATTATTTATCATAATCTTGTCAAAATTTTTTCAATTTTTATTCTTAAACTACTTTCTATATAACATCATATTTTTTTTATTATTATTTTTCCTTCCTCCCCGTAACGAAACAAATTCTCGAATTTCTTGGCAACGTCGATAAATACTCGTTAAATTTATTTTAAAAGTTTGGCTTTGAACCATTCAAATCGCATTTAAAGGAACTTTCGATTCGACCGATTTCAACTACAAACACAAACACAAACACAACGCTTTGAAACTCTAAGCTTTATCCCTTTTCTAAAACTTTTTTTTCAAAGAATTTATTTACGTCAATATAATATTTGTTAAAAAAAAAAAACTTTTCAATAAAAATGTCTCAAGCAATTAGAACCAATCGAAGACAGCCAAGAGGTTCAATCAATCGTAGAGCTTGCCAAAAGTGTAGACAATTAAAGATTAAATGTGACGGAGATGCCGAAAGGAATGTTGATTGTTCCAATTGTGATGTTGGAACTTGCGTTTACGATAAAAGTCCAAGAAAAAATAGACAGGTCGAGAAACTTAACAATCGTGTTGAATGTTTGGAGAAATGTCTAACGGAGACAAATACAAAATTACTAAAATTTCAAGAGGATTATGACACAAAGATTAGAATTCTTATGCTTGAAAAACAAATCCAAAGTTTGATTACTGATTGTTTAATTCTCCTCCCCAATACGCGAAATGATCAAACCGTCTCAACTGTTTTTAATCAACTTCGTCAAGCTATTAACGAAAGTAGATGCTGGGAAATTTTAATGCCATTTATCATCGCATTACTTTCACGATTATTACAAAATGATAATGATGATGAAACATTTTGTCGAATTATTGAAATCTTAAAAGACATTGCCGAAAACACGATGAAAAATTGTAACCCAGATGACGCTTTTAATCGAACAGCACCACAACAAAATATTAATGATCTTGTCGCTCAATATGATTTCTCTAATGATCAACAAACGCAGACCTTTAATACTATGACCACCGCTACAACTGAAAATATTTCCGCACCATTAATTATTCAAACTAACCCAATTGTGAACGACATTTCAAACTTGGCTTTATCGCCTGAATCTGATGCTAACTCTGATCTGAGCAATCTAAGTCATTTGACTCCAAACATCGAACTCGCTTCGCCTCTTACTCCAGAACAAATTGAACACTATTCGCATAACGGAAGTGAATTTGACACTTCTATAAATTTCGCAATTTCTTACCCTCAACCTTCATATTTTGATGAATTTTCTTATGATACTTTTTATAATTCGTTCGGTTCCAACTCGTCTAATGGTCATTAACTTTTCGTTATTTCATAATAGCCCTGGTGGCAAAGAACGATAAATAAACAATTTAAGATAAGCATAAATAGTATACTAAAAAATTAAGGATATAAATTTCGGTTATTTCATTTCGTATTACCGTAAGAATTTTAAACACACATGCAGGAACCTTTTTTTTTTTTTCGTTATTTTTTTATTTTTTTTTTTTTCATTTTTTTTCATTATTTATTTTGGACTTTGGACATATATTATTTATATTACTTTATACAGAAGACTTTTTATATTTTAGCTAAAATTTTTTCCTTTTATTTATGTACATACAAATTATCAAATTAAACTTAAATAGACTTTTTTTGGATCCAACAATTCGCAAATTTATCGAATATATATTCAAATATAAGAATTGACTTCCACATAAAAATATATATATATATTCTTCTTAAATCTGTCAAAATACTATAAGCTTGTTTGTGTACACATCACCTTTTTTTTCCTAAGACTAAATAAAATTTTCCGAAAAATATGCTATTTGTATATATACAACAAACGTTTTGTTCTTCCATCACTTGAATCTCACTTTTAATTTTGAACCAATAACTCGTAATCATCATCCAAATTTAGTTAAAATATCGCATAAAAAAGAAAAATCATTGAATGATTATTTCACATGTTGTTCTTTCAAGAAAATCCTGAAAGGATCCAAATTTCTTTCATATTTTTTTTAACAGAACGTTCCTTATTTAGTCTGACGCATTAATACAATGAATGACATCAACATATAACATTCTATGACGAATTTAAAGCACGTAAATAGCCCGAAAATAGTAAACAATATTAATATTTTAAAATGGCGGAATTAAGTGTAACGACATTAGCGAGATTTTTTTTTTGAATAAATATGTCTGGACCAAATCCAATAAATACGTCAAGCCACGATAAATATTGCCACAAACCTTAAAAAGAAGGCTGTTCCGAGGTTCTTTTTTTTATCTACTCTAGGTAGGTAGGAGGAAACGTCCGATCTGTGATATCACGTGAGTATAATTTGTAAAAAACAACTTTCTTTATTTTTTTTTTCATGAGTAACTTCCTTTCTTCCAAAATACAACCGACTACTTATCAGCTAATAATGTGTTTGTAATTAATTTCTCATCATGATTGTCTTTATTATCCTTTCCAGTAACGAGATCTTTAATTGCGATAACTAAATTTATGACTATGGTCATGACCAACATTCCCATGATAAAGAAGTGCGAAGATTTTATGATCATCTCAATTATAATCCGATTCTTAATATTTGTGGCCATACCACTCAAGAATGCTATTAACATACACACAATTACGAACCTTAAAAACGATATACATAACTTCAAATAGTTCATTAAACTTGTTTTAAAAGGTTGAAAGTAAAGTAATAAGGCAAAGTATGTCATTTCCGTCACACTCAAACCGACGATTTGCAAGATAGCTATTTGCTGACCCAGTCCAATGACAAGGGCTCGAAAGAAGTCGTAAGCAAATGTGTATATGAAAAACAAAATGCAATCTTTATCCGTATGATCTTTATATTGAGTGTAGAGTGAGCTGTATAAGAGGGTGTATTCTGGTTTCTTAAATTCATCTTGATTATTCATTTGAGCTCGATTTTTCCAAGCTCGAAAGATTTTGTAACCACAAAAAATTATTGCGCCAAGGGACAGGAATGTTATGCAAACCACAGCAAGTAAAAGAAACAACCAACAATCTTTATAAAGCGACAGTTGATAGGCGGAAAAGAGGGTTAGAGGATAATAAAATAGTAGCAACTGATAAGATCGTAAGAAAAAATGAGGTTAGAAAAGTTTTGCAAATTACATCTTAAACCCACAAAATCCATGATTTTTTATTGCTTACTACACGTAAAATTCCACCTAGAAAAATAAGATCGGTAATTAGAAAAACAAGTCAATTATTACTATTTACCCACGCACAACAAATATAGTCTTTACTCACCAAACACCAAAAAATGAAAATTTTTCGCTGCCATCTTCAAGGCGGGCCATTTCTTCCATAAGCACTTACACAACTTTGCCAATAACCCAATCAACAATGCGATAACAAGTGCAATTCCCACTGTGGAACTAAATGTAATAATCATTACGAAGAATAAATTATATTCTGGAACCTTCAATACATTCCCATAAGTTGCGAATCCAGTCACGTTGAAAGATGGTGTGGGTATATCCCCTTGAATGCATGTGCTGTTATTATCGGTTAAACTTGAACAAAAATTTGTCATATTACATATCGACTTTCGTACCCCTTCGTTTGCAAAGTTGGACAGAAATTTAACGTTAAATCCGCTTGGTAAACCGCATGACCATCCAAGTTTGGATGCTAAATCCCGGTAACTATATGAAAGTCCAGGCAAAGAAATTAGAGCGGTGGTTACAAAAAACTGAGCTGCACGAAAGAGGTCGTATATTGATAAAGATTGATGAGTGTCAACTTTATCGGTTGCAGTGGTAGATATACCGCTGGTGGGATCATGCGACGCATTTCCATCAGAATGCGGTAAAGGCGCAAAACTATCCTTTGGAATGTGGCCGCAGCCAACATCGTTGATATTGGCACTGTTATAACCCGGAAATTTTTCTGACATATGATGAGCGGTAGAATTTAAATTGGTCTGCTGGGTAACTGTTCCAGATGAAGGTTGATGATTGTCTTGATTGATGATATCACCTGGTGAAAAAGTTCTCGCAGCGCTAGCTTTTGACACCACAAAGAAAATCACAACAGAAACTGTTCCAAGCACAGCCGGAACGTTAAATAAGTATGGAAAGGCACCTGTCGGTATGCTGTCAAGAGAAGCGGTAGCACATCCTAAGGTTTCGTCTTCCTTTATCACAGATAAAAACGCATAAGCGCTGCTTCCTGGAACCTTGAAAAAATCTATCCATATATGCAAGAATCGTTAAATTCCGAAATTTATCAAGGTTGATGAGATGGAATAAAACAATGCACCTAAAGATTCTTCAACCACCTGAGTAGATTTGATTTTAACGTTTGTTGAAAGATCGTCGTCAATTGGATAAATTTCATAGTCGGTTGGATTAATGTAGTAGTCAAGAGAACGTGCGCTATCCCAATAAATAGAGATTTTCACTTGAAAATCATCAATGCTATGCTTTAATTTAAAAAATTAAATAAAAAATAAAATTTGTGAAGAAAGTCAAAATTCATTACCAGTGGCAATATCCTCTAAATTCACAGAACTCTTTCCTTCGACAAGGAAAGTTATTGTGTTTTGAGCTTCTAAGAAAAAGACATCAAATTTTGAAAATGTCACCAAACCACCACAATCCTTGAGGTTTGATATAGGAACTTTTTTGTTTTTCAATGTCGATTTAGCAATTATGGTTGGTGTGAGTGTAGTTGTGCTCGTGGTTGTACTTGTGCTCAATATTGTCACAACAGGAGCTTGTCTTTTTCTAAAGTTTATTGACGAAGGTGCAGGCGTTATCAGCGGCGATTGGATTGGATTCGTAAAAACTTCTATTACATAAAATGAAAGCAGAATCATAAGAAAGAAATATGAACTAATAACGGGAATTCGCTGTGGATTTAAAAGTGTATTTGACATATTCACTAAATTTATCGTAAATCCAAAGAAAGGGGAATAAAAACATTATTTATTATTATTTTTTTTTTTTTTGAAATTTGGGAGGTTTGTTATTAAAATGCCATTTGTGCAAAAATAGTCGCGTAGTACATAGACTTACAACTGTATTTTGATTGTTTACGAAAAGATTATCCAACGGCAAAAATAAAATATATAAATTAGCCTACTATTTATTATATTTGAAAATAAGGAAATAAGGCAGACAAATTACTACGGAATTTCACTCTGTATTACGTTGGCTAAATAGCCAAAATGCTTATTATACAAACCTTTTTTTTTTAGGATCTTCGTGTTCGTCACAGTTGGCTCACAAAAGTAATGGAACGGAATCTTCACACCGGATGGTTTTTATCTTCGATTAGTGTTGACTAACCTTGGAACATAATACTGCGCAACAAATTACTAAATTATTAGTAAATTTAAAGTTACAAAAATCTGGTATAACCGTGTGCCTTTATCATATCATTTATTCTTTTGGGTATAGATTCAGTTAGGTTATTACAAAATTCAATCTCAATACTATTCCACACAGTTTTTAAGTTTCCCGCAAGCCATTTCAGTTTAAAGGTGGGTTTTAAACTTGTGTAAACGTTTGTCAGCTTCAAACCATACATGTTCAATTGGATTTAAATCAGGAGATTGAGATGGCCAATCGAGCAACAAAATAGAATTTCTATAAAATCATTTCTAGTCAATTTTGCGGTATGTTTAAAATCATCATCCTGCTATATAATATAAGATTTCTAGGAAAATTAGGTTCCAAGAATGTTTAGATTAAATTAAGAGCTTAATGCATTTTTAATAATAGCATCAAAAACTAAAAAATCTCATTTTTATTAAAAATTCCCGGAACCTGAAGTTTTCTAGCAATCAACCCATATGATCCTTGTCTAAATTAAGTCATAAATTTGAACATAAAAAGGCCAACTTCCATTATTTATCAATAAATTTCAGCATTCATATTCCAAATACCATTAATCATTAAGTAACTCCAGACCATAATTTATCACTGCTAAATTTAACTGTATGTAGGTTTTATATATTGATCAGTTAAAGGTTGGTTGATTTGATCTTTTTCAATAATACTGTTTGCCATCAAATCCAAACAAAAAAATTTAGATTTCAATTATTACTAGTCTAATGTTAATATTTTTTTGCTTATATAAATCCAATTTTTTTATAAGTTTTACTAAGAAAAGGCTCTTTTCTCTTTATTTATGAAATTAAACCATTTTTTTTAATATACACTAAATAATATTAAATGAAAATTTTATTTTATCATTATTTGAAGATAAATATATGATAAATTATTATAAAAAAAGTTAAATGTTTAAACTTATATATCTTGCTATTTATTAATTTTAAAAATATAAAAATATAATCATTTAATAGGTCTTAATGAGATAAATCTAACAAATTAAATTTTATTTTCTTATAATTATTATTTTTTTTAAAGAATCGGTATTGCTCATATTTATTATAAAAATTCAAATTCAGTAGGTTAATACATAGAAATTCCAAAACCAGATACAAAAGTAGAAAAAAATAAATTAAACTGTCTAAAATGTTCTTGCAAGTTAAAAACTTACTAGTCTCAAACTAACTGATCATCCTGCTATATTTTAGAGATAATCATTAATAAAGTCTTTATCAATACATAGCAATTAGATTATTACTACGCCTTTCTTTTTTTCCTAACAATAATTCCTATCCTAAATTTAAATTCAATACAAAAACAAGTAACTTAAATTATTGTTAAACTAAAAAAAAACTAATAAAAAAAATATGACTCCAACAAATTTCTAGTTAAGTTGCTTGATTAATTCCTAATTACAGTAACCTTTCGACATAGAAGTATCTATATCACTAAGTTCTGTTAGAGACTCTTCAATACTCTTAAACTTTTATACTAAAATATCTATCAATTCAGATTATAACTGTCAGTAAGCATTGCAAATAACCTAAATTACATAGTTATAAGAAATCAGAAAATCTCACTAAGATCAGCAGGCTCTATAATATCAGAGATCTAAAAAAAGTATACTTATTTAAAAAGGTAATAGGAAAATTATCACATGTGATTAGTTGATTCAAAGTTGTCATTGATCTTGATCATCATTTGGGATATTCTCTGATGCCTACTTTTGTAAATAAAAAAAGAAGAAAAAATGAAAATAATAGCTAAGAGAAGTGATGAAAAAAATATTTTAACAAAAACATCACTGTTTGGACTAACAAAAATTGTTTTTTAGAATAAGATAGTTTAGGAAAAACAAAGAGAGAAAGAAGTTTATAAAAGGAGTTTTATTTTTATTTGCAGGCTAAGCTATAACTATTCTTAAACGTATACATTTTTTATGTAAAAATTCTTGGTTAAGTAATCATTGAAAAAAATTTATTTTCTTATAATTATTAATAATAATTTAATTTAAAAAATTGAAAAATTGAAAAATTAATATATATTAATAATTATTAATTTTAAAAATTTAAAAATACTATTATTAGATAGATCTTAATATGATAAATTTAATAAATTTTATTTCATTTTTTTATAATCACTAGATATTAAAATATTATAATTTTTTTACAATATTTATAACTAATTTATACCTATACTTAAGGAATAATATAATAACTTTAATTGGTTAAAATTTTAAAATACTTTAACTTAATATTAAAATGAATAATTAGCAAATTTAATTTTTTATATAATACATATAAACAGAATTTGAAATGATGAATATGATTAATATATTATTTAGAAAATGATTGATATAATTTAATATTTTATATTATATATTATCACCATAAAATTCTTCAACTTGGATTGGTCACATTATCAAATCTCTACTCGAGATTACTAACTGTTATTTACTGCAGTTAAGATGTTAAGATTTGCCTAACTCTTAACTTTATCAAATTTACATGTTAAACTTAAACAAATCTATCAAATATGAAGACTTGAAAGACGAGATTATAAATAATTTAATTAAAGAATTCAGATGATGAACTCAATTATAAATAATGTATAAGGATCATGTCAGACTATATAAAGATATGAAGAGGCAGAAAGATATAAGTTTTGATAATTTTTTATTAAAACTTGTAAGTCAATAAACTTGCAAAAGAGTTTATCTATTTATACAAAATTTCTTTTATCATAGCTAACTATTTACTATACTATAAACTAACTAATTCAGTAAATCAAATATAAGTAAAATAAGTATACTAGAAATACATGAAATAATAAAAATATAAAATATAATAAAAATAATGATAAAAATTAGAATATTAAAAATAAGTATAATACTAAATATTACTAGATTTTGTCTAATTCATAAAATTAGGATTATTATCAGTATTTAGAAGATCTGTAAAATTACATAGATTCTTCATATTTTTAGAATTCATAGAATTCTCAATATTTTTAAAATTCTAGATTAGAAGATCGTTATATTACATCATCCATGTGACTTTATTATAATTGGTCAATTGCTCTATTAATAATCTTTTACTTATTTGAATTTTAAATATTATAGTAAGAAATAATTTTGTTTTCAAAATCAAATTCTGGATTTTAATTTTTGTGAAACATTTCATTTGCGTAGTTATCAACGTTTTGGTCCTAAGCAATTGAGTTACTCTAATCTTTGAAAATAAAATAAAAGTCTTAGTTGATATTTTATACTGATATAGACTTAAAACTAATTTTACTCGTTTATAATCCACCTCTTCTAATAAATCTAAAAGTTCTTTAATGAAATACATATTTATTAACATTTTCAATCTATTCTTCAAATTTTTACAATGTCAAAATTGTTATTGAATTTTTAAGCTTTAATTCAAGTGTTATCCATTTCATGATAAGGTTTATTCTACTTAGATACAAGGGTGAATTCTAATTAAATAAGATTATTAAAAAGATTTTCCATTGTATGCTGATTTTTCAAGAATTTAAGATCTATTTATATTCATTGAAAGGCATTACTTATATAATCACTACCATTGGTTCCTATGATTATCAATCATAATATAATTTTAGTAAATTATTATTAACTGGTTTAGCAAAGAGTCATCTATCTATTTCTTTTAGATGATAAGATCTATTTATTAAAATCTCATAAATTTTATAAGATCCTTTCTATTTTGGTTCTAATTTACTAGAAAATTGATTAATTCATGTAGCATTATAGTATAAAACTTTTTGTCTTATATCAAATAATATTGGTTTAACTAAATATTTGTTATATATTATCTTTTGTTTATTCTTTATAGCAATCATTATTTGTTTTGCTTTTTCTCTAATATTAAGTAATTTTTCTATAATTTGCTGAATTCTATTGATCAAATTTTTATTTTCTTGATCAGCATGATTGTCAAGAGGTAGTTTTTCTTTTCATTTATATGTTAATAAAAAAAGTGTCATTTTGGTAGTTAATTGTTAAGCAATTCGATATGTAAATAATACAAAAGCTATATGTAAATCTTATTCAGTTTGTTCTTCTATAATCTTTACTAAGATTCTTTTAAGATTTTATTAAACCTTTTCACTTGTTTATTTGTTTGTGAATAGTAAAGTGTAAAATTATAATGCTTAATTTCAAATTTGTCCATTAGTTCTTTTATCATAGTATTATTAAAATGAGTATTTCGATTTAATAAGATTTTTATAGAACATTTATGTTTACAAATAATATTTTTGTAGACAAAGAGAGTAAATTGACTAGCAGTAGCTTCAGTAATAGCTCTTGCTTCTGGCCATTTTATAAATATGTCAACAGCTATGATAATATATTGATTTCTTCAAGGAGTTATAGGTAAAGATTCAATAAAGTCAATTCCTATTTATAGAAGGGGCTATAAAGCAGTATAGGATATAATTCATTATTTTTGCTTGGTCTTTCACTTCGTTAGCAAGAGTCATATATTTTAATATATTCTTTAATATCTTTATATACAGT